AGACCAAATATCTCCATCTCACAACAAATCAGATCATGGACAGCCTCAACTGAGAGTGACCCCCCCCCCCTCCAACCATTGAGAGATGCTAGATAACAGAGGAGGTATAGGGGAGGTCTGATTAGCCTCTGTGCTGGAAACAGTAACCCGGGAATTCATGCCTGAAAACGGCATGTCAAAACAAAAGGATTTTTGTTTTGGATTTGTTAAAATATTATTTAATTAAAATCAACTATGCGACATGAAAATCACACCCAAGGACATTAATTACTGCAACACTTGTGTAGATAGAGAAACCCGTGTCTAAATGCTTTGTGGAGCAAAAGTGATAACATTATCTGAATGAGGAGCTTATATACAGCATCAAAAAATAGAGGGTACATTGATGTACAAATATCACCAGGGGCAATTGAATGGGGTATAAAAGGCTGAAACAAGCGAGAAAAAATTAGACCAATGCTTAGATGGGCAAAGGAAGAAGCCTGTATATCAAGTAATAGTAATAGCTATAAATATCATTAGAGGTAAGTTTGATTTGGAAAACTCAGATCTAGGTGCTTTTGCTAATAAGAGAGGGGAGAGGTCATATGAGACTGGTGATAAAAGACAAGACAGAACATACCTGTGAAATTACGTTCCAAAAGGGGGTCAGAGGCCTAGGTGCTTCCACAGGCTGAGAATATGTCTACCAGCAGAGGAAGGGGGAGGGAAAAGGCTGTCCAAAATCATGTCATCCTGATCTTAATATTCAGGCAATGGCATAATCTCCTGTTGATTGGAAGACCTTTCAGCCCATATGAAAGCAGCCATCTCCCGTCAAAGAATTGCCAACATCTCCTCCATCAGCTCTGCATGGCCAGGTGGTTAAGGGTGCTTGACTCGCAATCTCAGGGTCGCAGGTTCGATTTCCCATCACACCAAATATGGTTGCCCTTTCAGCTGTAGGGCTTTATAATGTTGTGGTCAATCCCATTATTTGTTGGTAAAAGAGTAGCTCAAGAGTTGGCGGTGGGTGGTGATAACTAGCCGCCTTCCCTCTAGTCTTTCACCTCTAAATTAAGGACAACTAGTGCAGATAGCCCTCGTGTAGCTTTGCACAAAATTCAAATTAAACAAACAAACTCCTCCACTGATAACACCATACCTGAAGCCATTGTCACAGGTTGGTAATCATTGGCACGGTCAGTAGCCACTGTCATCTTGATAGTAAATTGTGAACCCATAAAATATCGAAAGACTACCAAAATTGGGAGCTCCACATTGCTGTTACAATATGATAATTTCTACAGTGTTAAATTAAAAAATATACATGTATACATGTGAAGTCCAAATGTCTACACATTTAGTTTTTTTTCTCTATATTTTTTGTGTCAACCAACTTACTTTATATGCTCCACTAATAGATTTTTCAACCAAAGATAGGTCTTTCTTTAACATTGTTGATGCTACTACAGCAAGTAAGTCGAATAGAGGAACTTCCAAAGTCTTTTTTGCATGACACCAATGACTTTTCCATATTAGCTTCTTTCTTGATGCCTGATGATCAGTGACTTTTAAAATCTGTGCTTACCGACTACCTAGAAATTTCTGAAACATAATGTATAATATTAATAAAAACAAGGCGAATGTTCAACTTCAAGGTAAGACCACTCAGTTTAATTTAAATCTCAGACTTCCTCTAGATTAATTAAAATAATTCAACTTCAAGGTAAGACCACTCAGTTTAATTTAAATCTCAGACTTCCTCTAGATTAATTAAAATACATTGAGGATATAATGCCCCCATGGCTGAAAGGGCAAACATGTTTGGTGTGACGGGGATTCGAACCCGTGACCCGCAGATTGTGAGTCAAGCGCCCTAACCACCTGCCCAGAAGGAAAGAGTACACAAATGCTACCATACAAAAACTAAAACAAAATAACACCAAAATAATGTTAGCTAAAGAAAACAATTTCTTATTCTCATCACAGATATAACAGGAAACACAAACACAGAAACTATCAATGATATACAAACAAAATTGATAAACATAAAATTATTAAAAAATCTAAGCCTATTAAAACTATATAGATCAATTCCTAAAAGATGAAAATACTACAACAAAATTTTGTCAAGAAATAAAATTACTACCAAAATACAAAATGCTAATCTGAAAAAAATAAAGAATTAAACAAAAACCAAACTACATGCTTAGATGTAGTGATCCAGCAAAAACAAAACAAAAAAAAGTCCTAAGCAAAACTATACAGTTTGAAAACTGCTAGTAATATACATATCCACCATGAATTTCATATATAATAAAAAGACTGGAGACAACAACAAAAAGTGCCCAAGCACACACCATACAACACAAGTAGCAGCAGTAGACTATTATATTTTCATAAGTAATAAGTGAAAACATTATAAACACAAATAGGGTGTTAAAATTAACAGATGAAAATTCATAAAAGAAATATAACAAGAGAAGAACTGTTCAAGGGATTTAGATTTTAGGAGGAATCTGTAAAGAAACAAGAGAAATTTTTAACACTGGTAGAAGACAAAAACTTTACAAGTATTAAAAACATGATAAACAAGAAAGTACCATAATAACAGAATGTTGGAAAGCATACATAATATTTAAAAACTGTAAATCAGAGTAACAATTTCATAAATGAAGTAACATAGACAAGTACAAATTGAATAGAATATGAAAATAATAAGACAATTATCAAACACATATGTATGAAAAAAAATCACTTTGCATCTCATATATAAGAATACTTATGAAGTAAAACATCATTGTAAAAAAAAATTTGAATGCTTAATAAACATCATAATATTACATACATGTCACCATAAACTCAAACACACTGAAAAATAACAACCAAGAACAAAGTACAGAAACACAAATAATTTAAAACATTGTAATATTTTCTAATAATAACATAAACTACACAAAAAATAACTTTTAAATTAAAATTTAAGTTAAGATAAAATTTTTATTAATTTGGAAATTGTAAATATAAGTGCTAACAAGGTAGCCAACATAAAGTACACATGAACACCATCACATATACAGATGATATGGGGAAAAAGCTGTAAAAAAACAAAAACCAAAACACTTAACAAAATACAAAAAATAAAGTTAAATATAATAAAATAGCCCATTAATAAATAAAATTCAAAAACCAAAAAGGAAAAGTGCCATCACAACACAGGACTTTTCAGTCTAGATTCAGTCTACTGTTAATGTTAGTACACTTAGTTATTTGATCTTCACCTTCTCTTTAAGTTTATGTTTTGGACTTTACAAGGATGAAAAATTTTTATAATTTGTTTCTTAAATACACACATTAACAGAGTAAGTACATCAGTTTTCTACTATAAAAGTAATTAAATTACTACTAGTAATACGGTAACAGAGTTAGGTTAAACTTAAATTTTTAGCTCAGAGTGAAATCTTAAGATTAAAACCTGATCTTTTTCCTCAGTGTTTATTGTGTGTCACATAAAAACATAAGTTTCAAATATTGTTTTCAATGAAAAAAAAAGGTGGTGCATCATGTCTTTTTCTGGTGAGATGGGGTGGAGAAGAATATTATTTATATATCTGCACCTCCAAACATTCAATGTTCTTAATTAAAGTGGATGGAAATATAATAAAATTCTTCAAGTTTATTTGTGAATTTGTGACAAACATTGATGCAAATGCTTGAAAAAAATAATATATATATGTAATTCTGAAAATGAGTCTATTGACAGTATTACTATTAGTATTAGGCCTATGTTTGAATTGTTTCCCGAATAAGCCATAATGTCACTGACCAGAATAGACTTATCTTAAGCCACACAAATTAGCTCAAATTTCCTCTCTCATCCATTCAGCAAAGTTGTATATTTAATAAACTTCTACGTAGACACTCAATGATAGGATCAAAGTGATCGTACACAGAATTTGTACCTGTACTCAGGCTGTAGACAGTGTGCATGTCTTGGCGGCGTCTCTGTATAGCCTGACTAGCGAGCAGGCGACATTAGAATGTCGTGGATAATTACTTGAAGTTATAGGAGTACTTAATATTGTCAACATTTCACATCAAAAGCTTTAAATTATCATGACGACTAGTTTAGATGAAACGCCTTCCAAAAAAGACTCGCATATATACTTTGAAATTAGATGTAAACATCCACGCCAGTTCGATATCACCACCTGTCCACGGTGATGTCGCTAATTGTAACTTAATATATTATAGGGGAAAAAAGCTTTTACTTACATGTGGAATGTAACACCCTCTGCCTTCGCCTTTTGGTTACCGTTAATGGCATTGTACTGTGTTCCCTTCGTTCTTTCGGTTCGTGACTTAGACGGATGGCTGTCACTCTCAGGCATTTTTACATTGTATGTCAATTCGAATTTCAACACATAGTAATGGCGGCCGCATGCGCACATTCCCCTCAATGATAAATAGTAGTGACTGGCCAGCCTTGTATTATTTATTCTGTGGTTGGGTACGTATAAACTATAAATACGACATCCACTAAATAAGGAAATTGTACATCAATAAGATCAATTTTAAATTTTCAAATATAATAGTAATACGAAATTCCCAAGGCTAAACTACCTTGTTTTATCTATTGTCTGCTACAAAAGTACAATTTATAAACACGAGAATAGTCAAGGTTCCTTACAATATGACATTTGTTGAAAATGTTTAATCATTAACATGAATTTGGCAAAGTTGTAATTATTTTATTGTTTATTAAACTAGAAAAGAAAAGAAATTCTGTACTTTGTAAGTAAATGCACATTGTTTATAAAATTAAGTGGTTAGGGCGCTCGACTCGCAATCTGCGGGTCTCGGGCTCGAATCCCCGTCCCACCAAACATGCTCGCCCTTTCAGCCGTGGAGGTGTACGGTCAATTCCACTATTCATTGATAAAATAGTAGCCCAAGAGTTGATGACTAGGTGCCTTCTCTCTAGTCTTTCACTGCTAAATTAGGGAGGGCTAGCAAAAATACTGTTAGTGTAGCTTTGCGTGAAATTCCAAAAAATCCAATCCAACATACTATCATTTAAAGGTACATATTTTTAACATAGGTTTAAAACGTTTTCTAGATGTTAAAGTCATATTTATAGTGTCATTATTATATTATTCTCTGATTTATAATATATGTATTATAGAAATTTGCTGTTTTTATTTAGATAGGCTTTTAAAAATCCTCATATAAATTACTAACATTTTCCATAAATATGTGGTTTAATTTTTTTCTTTTGGTAAGGCTTATTTCTGTCCTCCAGTACTGTTCTGCTAAGGGTATATCAGCTGTTTTTCAAATCATTTAAAAATAAAGGAGTGTTAACTGCACACGTGTAGCAATTGAAACTGCCAGATTGTATCCTTTCAGAGCCAAATAAGAATATATTTTTATTCAGGTATATTCAAGAACATTTTATACAGATGTTTTGCGTTTAGTAAACGTTCTTGTAAACATGAAATAAAAAGTCGTAAACTGGTATTAATCCTCACCTCGGTCTAAGGTTACTCATCACGTAGATCTTATACTCGTTTGACCATGCTTCTGTAGCATCTCTTTTCTGAGGAATAGGGCATACGCAAACGAAAGAACAGCGCAAACCTTTGAACAAATTATTACCTAGAATTCACTTGTCCCTTGAACATGTATAATGAGAATTATTACTGAAGTAAGCAATCTAGAATTTTCGGATACAGCACTAGGACTTTGGTCTGACTTGAAAGTGTGGTGTAGACACAGTTCTGTGTCTTTTGTAAAGTAAGGACAATTTTTCAGTCTCTTATCTTCTGAATACGTATTTTCCTCATCTTTAGAAGCCAAAGTGAACTTTATTCGGAACTAAGAAAACGGTTAATCTCAAGTAGAAGTCTTGGTTGCTTGTTTAAGAAAATAAAAATTGTTTTCCTTGTTTTACATTTGCGCTTGAGTCCATACTTTTACCTCAGAATATCACATAGATATCAATGCCCTTCTATTTAATCTACATTTCTTGCACGCAAATTTTTGTAAAATAAAACACTATTGGTCCTGTTTAATGAATTAAAAGGAAATGTTGTTTTAAGCAAATGAATTTACTATATTTCGTATTTTGGTCGAAAAATCATAATATGGGGATAATAAGACTGCTAAGTTTAACTTGCCATATATCTCTATGTTGTACAGTCAACTCGCTAGCTGTCATTAATCAGTGCCTAGTAATGTAGGTTGCCTTATAAATAATATTTTTTTCGGTTTAGAATATTTGATTATCTCAAGTTATAGGATAAATAAGTAAGCTACTTATGTTTTCACATACTCCACGAAATTAAAGTTTGAATATCTCCTTTGGAGATACGATTCAGAAGCAAACAATCAGGTCAGTGACACCGTAGTAAGACGTGTTTTATGCATAACGTTTTAGTTTCTTTTTATGTACATTAAGTATATGATGAATACATATTTCTAAGTTGATTTTAGTTCATAGTTTATAAAAAAATTCTCAGAGAACATTAAACTTTAAAAACTAACATTTTAGTTTAGATATATTTTATAATTTCGATAAATATAAAGTGAAGTTGACATTAATTATCAAATGCTTGATGTGTTACTATTAATTAGATCGTGACAGTGATTTGAAAAAAGGAGGTAGAAGGAAAGATGCCACATTAAAATTTTCTTAATTCTGCTTGAAAAAGACGTACAAGTTTAACGTTTTAGTTGATGTGTGTGTTCGATTTAGCATTTTGTATTATTATTTTTCTCTTATACATGCACACATATGAGAAATCTTCAGACAACGTGCTCTGAAGAAAAAAAAATGGATGATAAAATTTGTGCCACTTTCAATATAAATAATTTTTGATAATGGTTTTGCAACCTAATCCGATCAAAGCTGAGTTTCCAAAGAGAAAATTTCGTTTTGTTTTTAGAATACTAGATTAAAGTACATGAATGGTTAAAAGTGCGTTGATAAACAAACAAACAAAAATAATAGTTAGTGTTCTTCTTAAATGACTTTATTTCTGTTCCATCGATGGTGCAGGCTTTCTTCTTTCGTTTTATTTTTTATTATTATTTTTAGATAAGGAACATAAGACGCTTGCAACAATTTTCTAACTATAAAGATTACTGAGCAAGTAAGAATTTCACGTATTAAGATTCCTATACAGATTTTGTTCTGTTTGAAATCTTAAAACTCAGAAAAGTATAGAGATTGTAATAGATTGCAGCTTAAATTACCTTAATAAGTTTTTTAAAGGTTGATCTTATAGACTTTCAATTGAAAATTAATTGCAATATCATGTTGTGCGGTAACTAGAACTAAACTTTCGCACTGTTTTGTGATTTGTTTACAAAACTCCATGTAAATTATCCTTTACTAGACACTAGGAATGTCGCCATTTTGGCAGTTAAAAATAATAATAACTAAGCAATATCCGCATTAAACGTTCATTAATATTAGTATGCTGAAGCAAATGTGTTCATGTGTTTATCATTATCCAAGCATACTATTGGCATTTCAGACTATCTTCTAGCTAACAATGAATTAGATACAAAAAACATTTAATCTTTTATTATTGTTTATAGATGGCAGCACATCTCTGCTACAAGACCGAAAATAGACACATACCCATTTGTTGAAATTTAGCTGCTCACCGTTTTTCCAGTGTGGAATGTATTTTTTTCTTTTTCTTTATTCTTCAAGTAACTGGCCGTTTTTAATTTCACTTGTGAGATTAACCAAATGACAGAACTAAATATATTTTTCTTAAGAGCATGAAATAAATGTATATAGACCAAATACATCAATTTGGGATAAGATATACTATATCATTCAACATGATAACGTTAGTTAGGTGCATACAAAAAACTCAACACTTTAGACCAAATAAATTTTTCTTTGAAAGCATCATCCACTTTAACAGCTAACGAGAAATTGCAGCAAAATAATTGTTGAAATGTGGAAACATTATAAGGATTGGATATTAAGAGAGGAAACTCATTTAACACTTTTTCGACTTATACTTCGGCCTGTTCTATAATCAGCACATTTTTATAAATGTATTATGTAGTTATTTTCAACAACAAATAGTTCTCACAGTGTACAAAAATAAACAAAATAGAAGGTGCCAAGTATCACAAATAATGGTAAAATATTGTAAACAAACTATATCAAACATTAGAAGACAAAGTCAATATCCTGGCATAATTAATATTAGCTAAGTTAACCCAATTAGATAGTTTCATAATGAAAGAAACTTGATTAACTTAGGGATGTATATATATATATATATCTGTAGCACAGCTGAAAGGTTGCGGACTTATATCGCTAGAAACCGGGTTTCGATACCTATGATAGGTATAACGCATTGTGTAGCTTCGTGCTTAACTACAAACAAACTCTAAAGAAAATTTATAAACATATTTCAAATTACATATATTTCAGAAATACGTCTTTGTTTTTGTTGATATTAAGCACAAAGCTACACAATGGGCTTTCTGTGCTGTGCACACTACAGGTATCAAAACTCGATTTTTAACGTGCTAAACTCTCAGAAGTATCGCTGAGCCACTGGGAAGCTCTTAAATAAATGGGAATACGTTTATTTAACACTCATACTTTTAAACACCAGTTGCGCCAAGTGTTCAGTAAAACTGTATCAATACATTTACATTTTCAAAATGCACAGGGAAGAGGTAATATATAAAAACAGACGATATATTAACAATAATTAGAATTGTCATTTTAATTCAGATTAAACCGGTAAGAAAAACTATAGACAGAATTACTTTATAGATGGCCTCGCATGACTTGAAACTGTAATCATATACAAGCCCTCTCAAAGGTTTAGAGGCCTGGATCACTTCTATTTTTTGAGGCCTCTGGCTATAAAAAGAATGATGACACATGAAAACAAAGTAATATAATCATGAGCCCAAAAGAAAAATGAAACATAATTTGAATATTTAATTTGTACATATAGTTTGCAGCTCTAAGCTGAGAGTGTGTGTGTTACATTTTGGTCTGATTGGGAAGCACATAAAAACAAGTCGCGAAACTTAACAAATGCCAAAAAAAAAGCAAATGTCTAAATTTGAGGCCACCTTTGAATTTGAGGCCCGGGCCAAATGCCCCCTCCCCCATCTAATTGGTCCTAATCATATATTTGATAATGTTTGTGTATTTGACGTTAAGCTCAAAACTACAATGTGGTCTGTACTGTGCCCATCGCAGGTATTAAAGCCTGATTTTTAGAGTTATTAACCCTCAGACTTACCATTGAGCCATCAGTGTGGCTGTAGTGTTTGGTATTGCTATCGACCAGTGTATGAAGAGTTGTTTCAACAAATTTAGACATGTATCTTTAATTTACACAATTGTCTTGTTTACAAAAAATATATAAAACAAAATTTATATATATTCGCATAAACA